ATGAGAAATTATTTATTTATTTTAAGAATAAGTTTAGAATTATTCCATTTAATAACTCATATTTTATATCAAATTTCAGCGATTCAATTATTGAATTAAAATTTTTTAATACATATATCAAATTTAAAAATTTAAAAATTTAAAATTATTTAATAATTCATTTAATCAATTCAAATTAATATATAAAAATCCTAAACCATACTAAAAGCCTAATTTTGCTTTCAATATTCACACCATTATGATAGGTTCGACTCACATACACTAAAGACAAACCTAGCAAATATAATGAATCATGAGACGACTTGTTGATCAATTTGTATTATTTTAAGAAATATATATATCGAGTTCATATCACCAACAAACATGATGTCTTTATCACACAATTATTGATATCATCTTAAAGACATAAATTTAAATTTAACTAAGCCTTACTAAATTTATTTGGAGATAAAAATTGTCTTTTATTTATATATACTACTTGAGTCATAACACTAAAAATGTGAGATCTTTTACAAGATTTCATGAAATTATTTAGACATGAAAATGCAAAACTTCATGTCCCAAAAATCAAGCACAAGGTCTAAGAAATCTGAAGTACTACAATTTACCGCTACATCACCATGTTTGTTTAGTAAAAATGTGACACAAATAATATATATATACATATTTCTGAGCAAGATGTTGAATTAAACTGGTTCTTGTGATTTAACTACTGATTTATTGGTCACCTGATCCAGTTCTGATAAAAATAATTGAAATCCATCCGATAGTTTGGAAATGAAACTAATATATTTAGTAAAATTTAAGTAAATTTCATCCCATAAGAAAAAAATGTGATGAAAAAAGTATATTGTAAACATTCTTGTACCTGTCTGAATGGTAAGCTCCCTTTCGGTACAATTCTCAAACTCTATTTTGGAATTGAAAAAATAACTATTGCCGATTGATTATGTTCTATCCTAGAAGATGTTTGAATTCTCTTACGTACAAGTAGAACATGAAATAAGTATTGATGAAAATCAAAATTATACACATGCGTGTGGATAAGTTACAAAGTACCATTTACATTTTGTTTAGCGATTGATCACTAACATTAGGACTAGTGGAATCGCTATTCCATTTATCTGTCACAGCCTTTGGGGAAGAGATCAAATTCACATCCCTCAACAATTTCATCTCATCATGATCTGGTGATAATGGACCTTTACTGTCAAAATGCAATTCCTTTAGATGCCGAAACTCGTCCTTCCAACTTTGAATTGTCCTCAGCACTTCCAAAACTTGGTCCATAGAGGGTCTCAATTCTTTATCCCGTTGCAAGCACTGAAAAGCCAATTCTGCCACTGAAGTTATTTGCCTTTTAACATCACTATTTGACTCAAAACCAAGGGAAGGATCCACCAGCTGAGCAATTTCACTTTTTTGAATCTTCCTTATAGCTAGATCAGCCAAGTTTATTTCATCCTTATGCCGGTTCAGATCAATTGCTGGCATAGATGATATCAGCTCAATAAGCACAACCCCAAAACTATACACATCACTCTTGTTTGTAAGTTGGTAGCATCGATGATATTCAGGATCAACATAGCCAGGGGTTCCTTGTGGAGCTGTGGAAACGTGTGTCACATCATTGGGAAACAGTCTTGAAAGTCCAAAATCAGCAACTTTAACACAAAAATTGTTGTCCAGGAGAATGTTGTTTGTTTTTACATCACGGTGAATGATGTCAGAAGCATGGAGATGGACCAACGCAGTAGCAGTCTCTATGGCCACTTTGATTCGGATAGGCCATGGTAAAAAGCTACGATTTGTTGATCCATGATGATGGAGGTGACTGGCCACCGTCCCATTTGAAATGTATTCAAACACGAGCAATAGTTCACGGCTGTAACGTGAAGTGCAGCCATAGAGAGACACTAAATTTTTATGGCGCAAGCGTGTGAGAATTTTGATTTCATTCATGAATTGTTCTAATCGCCTATAGTTGTGCTCATATAAGCGCTTTACAGCAACTTCACGTCCATCGTCGAGTTTTCCTAGTTATTAAAATAGACATGAAAGTGATTTATTCGTGTTCAGAGCCATTGAATTATTATTTGATTTCCTTAAAAGGGGGAGTTTGTGTGTGGTACATACCATAGTAAACGATACCAAATCCTCCTTCTCCTAGTTCTCTAGAGCGGTCAAAACGTTTTGTTGCTTTTTCAAGATCCTTATAGGTGAACACTGGGACCCCAAAGTAGATACTCGCACTCTCTTGTTTTGGATTTGAGTAGAAATAAGACACACATCTTGGTTTGCAGTACCATATTATCAGTATCCCAATTATAATAATGCCAGGGAGTCCTATACCTGGAAACCAATAAAGAGGGAAAAATCCTATTAATTGAAGGCAGTAGATTATTCTTAAGAGCGTGTAAAAGTGAAATTTGAAACTGTTTGACTAAATGGGATTGTATGACTCTGTCCTCAAGCAATGGCATGGGGAGTTATACATCAGGGTACAAGAGCATAGCATCAGAAAAGGAATGTATGGTGCTCACTTCTCAGACTCAGATTGACAAATAAGAAAAGAGAGAACATTACCTAGTCCTAATTTCCACGCCAAACTTGTATTCTCTGCAGTATAAATTATAGGAACAAATTAATATATAGAAAACGGTAAAGATTAATTAAAGACAAGTGTGAGGCACATTACAATACCGAAGGCAGAACGCTTTGATTGGGCTAATTCTATGCATCGTGGTATGTGCTAGCTAGATGCTAATTAAGTTAAGATACAGTTAATGAGACAACATTCGTCGAAATAAATTTTTTTGAATTAGATATTTTCCAATAATCCTTTATTTGAAAGTTAATTTGTTGTAAGTTGTAACCTTTGGTTAAGTCTTATGGCATACCCTGAACTTGATTGTGACATCCTCTCCACCCCTACACATTTTTAACCCGAAAATATAAAAAGAAAATTTGCATACCTTTGGCGCAATAGAAATTTCCTTTACTGTCTAGTAAACATTGGCCTTCTCCGCGATTAAGGCAGCTTTCACAAGTATCAGATAATCGAACTTCAATAGCGATACTAGCAGACAGAAATTGAAAGGGGTTGCTAGTAGGTTTTGCTTGTACTGCAAGCTGAATGGTTGAACATGGTGCTAAAAAGCTTGGCCACTTGAAGCCCAAAGGAATTTCAGTATTTGGAGGACCATAGTAGATATCGTAGTCAGAACAATTTGAATATTTATAAATATATTTGGGAAGTGTGGCGTTGAGGGAACGATTGCATCTGAAGATAGTGATATTATATTTGATGTAGAAAGAAGCTAAATGAGAGGCGTGAGGAAGAGTAAAATTGTTTGTGAAGAGTGTGCAATTGTTGGTTTGCAAATAATGATATTGAGCATCGTCTTTGATGATTATGGTACGAGGTTCAACTTGTAGAACGTTGTAGGATCTTAGTGTTGGATTGTTGAGTTGAATGGTTTTGGAAGCCTGGGGGTCTTTTTGTTCACAACCACGTATGGGCAGTACGCCACAGTGTGGTTGCAGTGTGGTTGTGAAAGGAAACTTAATCTGGCCAAGATCTCCACAATCCCAAGAGGCTGGACACTTTCCATCCTAGCTGCAACAACAAGCTGGGACAAAATTATTATTACTGATTTCAAAATAAGAACAGGGACCATCAGGAATGTCAAGAATTGTCCAGAAAAGATGAAACTAAGGAAGGAAATGTTTTTGAAAAACAAGAAATGCACAAACAGTAGAAAACCCCCTCTTTTGTGAGGACTAGGTGGTGGCCAGAGGACTCCTCAGAATTTAGAACGGAGAACAGAATAAATAAACCTCACAAAGTATGTTGCACCTTATTTTTTAAACTATATAATATTCTCTTTCTCTTTTTTTATTTTTAAGAAATACTGTATGATATACTTTTGATAATCCTTACAAATACAGTCTTTTTTGACTTTTATTTTAATGTTGATTTTTATAATCATTATTATTTTATTTGGAGTTTTGGACCATCTCTATCTACTGGTGTCATTTTTTAAATTAATTAATTGACGAATAGTACGAATTACAGAAAAAGTATGCTATTTGGTATGAAGAATTTTTCTTGCGAATAGCACGAATTACAGATATCATTTTTTAAAATAAATAGCAATTAATTATTTTTTTTGAAAAAAAATCAAGAATTATAAAATATAGAATAGCAATTAATCATTTCGTATTATAAGTTTTAATACTGGTTAGCATTTTTCATTTTGTTAAACATTGGCTGTTTATTTAAGTATAGATGTTTAATATGTTAGTTGACCGAGTAAACTAATTTTAATAAAAAAAAATAGTTTGTATATATAATTAAAATTAGATTTATTTATGAGATTAAAAAATAAAATGTGTAATAATGAAAATAGAAAAGGGAAATATTATGAGAGAGGTGACGACGTTGGTAATCAGTTACATATAGTTTGACTTGACTACTGTCACTTTAAACTAATTGTTAACTAGATGGATGATTTGTTTCGCAAATGTGTTAACTAGATGAATGATACATTTATATAAAAAAATAATATTACAACTTCTAAGAATAAAAACAATATTATTAAATACTAAAATTAAATAAGTTTTTTTTTATTATAAAAATTAATAGTATAATCAAGCCAACTTCACGCTCTAATTTTTATACTTCTTTTCACGTTTATTTTTTTAAAAATATTACTATATATTTTTTCTATTGATGTCTCTTTCCCTTT